AGCAGGGAGGACGTGTGAGGGTGACGGACTCGCCCTAACTGCTGCCGACACTGTACAGCCCGAAATAAACCATGTGCCCGTGCTGCTTTGTCTGCTGTGCTCCCTGGGTCAGCGTACTGTGCCCTCGTCCGCTGTGTGTGTGTGTGTGTGTGCGTGTGCGCGCGCGCTGGCAAACAGCTACGTGTCACCTCCACTGACCACACAGGCCTCGGTAAGGCGGGGCCTGGAGAAGGTGGCAGGCTTTGCCCTTACACAGAGGCATGCCTGGCTGCCCGTTGCCGCCCTGGAGACCCTGCCCACAGGCCCGTCCACCACGCTGCCTAGTTGATCCTTTCTCTGAAATGTCACGCCGGGGGGTGGGCGAGGTGTCGAAGGGATCAGGTATAAGGCATCATCAGAACAAAAAATCTTACCATAGTGAATGACCGGGGTGGGGGGGGGAGGGTGAGGCTCTGTCACAGCTGGCCCCCCTTCCCTCGGGGGCCTGCGGCACAAGGGGTCCCCCCATCCCAGCCAGGATGACTGCCCCATGTCCGTGCTCCTCTGGGGGCGCAGGGAGATGCAGCCATCTGCTCCCTTTCCGTGATTGAGCCTCAGGTGGGGACCTCTGTGTGAGGGGCAGTAAAGCCCCGCAGGCAGACCTCCATTCAAGCACGCGCCAGGCCCTGCACCGGGGCAGGGCGAGCATGCACAGGGCTGTCAGACACATGCTCCTCCCTGTACCCCTGGCTGAGGCAGAGGTGCCCCCGCGTATCTAGTGTGACTACCACCCCTGCCATGGGGACCGGCTGGCCAGTCAGTCCTGGTGCCTGGTCACTCTCAGGACTCGGGGGTCCAAATCTTGACTAGTTTTGGCTTCTGGCAGACTTGGTTCCTTCTGGGAAGTGCAGAGTATGTGGAGAGAATCGGGCACGGGTGGGGGGTGTGGGGGTGCAGTGTGTGGGTGGGGAGGGGGTCAGGCCTAGGTGTGGTGTGCGGTGGGTATCTGGTGGGGTGTGAAGTGTGTAGATGGTATGATGAGATCGTGTAAAGTGGAGGTGTGATGTGCAGGTGAGGGAGGTGGGGGTGAAGTGTGGGTGAGGAGCTAAGGGGGGCTGTGATGGGGTGATGGGAGGGAGACAGGTGATGGGGTGGGGTGGGTGTGTAATGGGTGGGTGAGGGGTGTGAAGTGGGGTGAATTTGATATGACGGGTAAGGCGTGTGTATGTGCTTGGTGTGAGCTATGTATGGTACAGGGGTGAGGGGCCGTGGAGGTGTGTGTTTGGTAGAGTGTGGTGTGTACAGGGGTCAGGACCCATGGAGGTGTGTGGAAGGTGGAATGAGTGGTGTGTAGTGTGTGGGTACAGTGACTGGGTGAGGAGTGGGGTGGGATGTGAGGGCTAAGGTGTGAGCTGGCTGTATGTGGGGTGAAGCCAATGGGGTGAGCTTTGGCAGGGTGGGTATTGGTACAGGGGTCCCATCTGCCACCACAGCAGGGACTTAGGCTGTGAGTGGACCACCCAGCATGCACGGAATCAGACCACAAGAAGCCAGCACTTGCTGAAGGGCGTGAGCACGCCTCCGGGGGAAGCGGGTGCTCTTGGGCACTGCAGAAGTAGGGTGCTGGGTGGGGAATGGCAGATGCTTCCACAGCCTCTTGATCTGGCCAGCTGCCCCGCCCACCTCACTGGACATCCCTCCCCCTCCTGTCCCAGTCCTGTCCTTTGAAGGGTCCAGGACTGGCAGGGTGGACAGACCCTCAGGCTCAGGTTCCCAGTGGTGCACTCTGCTTGTGGTGTGGCCGTCCCCCCAGGTCAAGGGCCAGAAGCCAAGGGGAGTAGGGGTGGGGGTGGGAGTGTTGTGTATGTGGTGTGCGATTCCTGTAGGTGTAGACTAAGCAGGATCCAAGTTACTGCCCCTTCTGTCCTAGGCCACCTGCCACCTCACCTGTCACACCCTACCCCTCTGAGACAGCTCAGCCACCGTTGTCACCCGGCCACCCTCCTCACCACCTCACCCTGTCCCCCTGCCGCCTGTGGCTCTCAGCCATCCCAGGCCAAGGCCTTACCTCCCCCAACTCCTGGCAGGGACTCACCCGCACGTGGGTGCACGGCATGTTTCCCCCACCTCGCCCAAGCTTCCAGAAGCTGCTGGTGTCCCCTGGGGGCTTCCCTGGGCTCACCTGTCAGCCAAAGCCCACATGCCCCAACAGTCACCCTCCTGCCAGCAGGGCAGAGCAGGCCGCAGTGGACAACATGGACAAGGATGCCGGACTGGACCCACCCTCCTGAGAGAACCCAAGGCCCTCCCCTGACCTCACCTACTGCCTCTCCCCACAGGTGCTCCTGGACACCTTCCCGGGACCCTCTGCCGCTGACTCCACACGGAGGGTCCCCACAGGCCATGCAGCTGTGCCAAGGTATGAAGCCCCCTCCAGAGCACAGCGCCCCTGTGCCCCCCTGGCAGCCGAAGGGGAGCTCTGCTCTAGGAAGAAACCCCAGGGCACCGCCTCCTGGGGGCGGCCGCAGGGGTGGCTCCCGACCTGCCTGGGCCTCATCACTGAGAGGCTGGTGTGAGGGTGGGGCTCCCACCTCTCCTTTCCTCGAGGTGACAGGAAGGTGTTGGGAGGTCTGACATCCATGAATGCAGGCTTGCAGCATGGACGGGATGTCCAGTGGTCAGCAGCTGCCCCAGCAGGCATTGGGATAGCGGACGGGTGTTTGCTTCCCCAGGCTGGGGACACGGTGACAGCCTGTGTGGACAGCCGTTCCCCAGCTGTAGGCAAGGCCTGGGCAGCTCCGTCCACCAGGACAGCCCGCCTGGCTCTGCCCTCTTGCAAAACTTGGCTGCGGACTCGCCATCAGGACCTTGGGGAATCCCCCTGTCCCCTTTCCTTCCGCTCCTCTGTGCACCAGACCATCTGTCCAGTGTTCCTCGTCCCGCTGTGGAGATGAGGCAACCGAGGCTCAGGGCATGGTCCTGGTTTGTCCAAGGTCATGTGCTGCCAGAACTTTTGTGTCTGGTCTCCCACGGCCCTCTCTGCTTTTCAGCCGGGCTCCGTACTTCCCTGCAGTGGCCACACAGAACTCCGAGACAGCGCTCGAGATCATGGGTGTGTTAGTCCGGGTAGACTAGAGAAGCAAATTCAGACTCTCATGGGTATAAGAAAGAGCTTTAGATACAAGAACAATTGAATATTGAGAAAACATCCCAGCCCAGTCCAGATCAAGTTCATAAGTCTGATATTAGCCCATATGTCTGATATCAGTCTATAAAGCCCTCTTCAGACTCACACAACACATGCAATGATGCCGAATGCAGGAAGATCACAGGCCAGGGGTGGAAAGTCTTGTGGATCCAGTGGCGGT